CCGCGTCACCGTAGCGCCATTTTGGAGCGTATCCACTGAACGCAAACAGCGTATGTTGTTCTGTGTCAGCCGCACCACACGGATACGTTGTTTTTCGTTCAAATCAAAGCACAAACAACGTAGAAAACGTATCCGTGTGGTGCAGCTGACACAGAACAGCATACACTGTTTGCGTTCAGTGGATACTCTCCAAAATGGTGCTAGGGTGTCAGCCGCACCACACGGATACGTTGTTTTTCGTTCAAATCAAAGCACAAACAACGTAGAAAACGTATCCGTGTGGTGCAGCTGACACAGAACAGCATACGCTGTTTGCATTCAGTGGATACGCTACAAAATGGCGCTACGGTGACGGAGAAGACTAATTGTTGAATAAAGTCGTTATTTTTATTTATTTTGCGCGCAAAAAGTATTCTCGTAGCTTCGTAAAATTACGGTTGAACCCCTGATGTCATATGGATTATTTTACCGATCTCCTTGCTACGTTTCTGGATTGATCATGTAAGGACCCTTGCTGTCTATGAGAGGGTCAGAGAGCTGTCAGAATGCATCAAAAATATCTTAATTTGTGTTCCGATAAAGAACTTACAGGTCTTACGGGTTTGGAATGACATGAGGGTGAGTAATTAATGACAGAATTAAAATTTTTGGGTAAACTAACCCTTTAAGTTGTGCATAACCCTCACTTATTCATGTTCAGTCTCTTGTACGTTACGTGTGCAGGTGAGAAGTTACAGTCTGCAGTTCACTTAACGGCCACCGGTGTCGCCAATAGCAAGAAATTTTACATAAAGCCTCTTCAGTAATAGCTAATAACTTTATACTTTATATGTTTATGTTTAACTCTATATATAATAGCTTTTTTACCACAAACAATATTTGTTACATTTGTTACAGTATTTATTAGTCTTTGATCACTGATAATTCATGTTAACTAATGTTAATTAAGGATAACGAATAAAAAAAGAAATTGTAAGGTGTTACTGAAGTATGTGATATTTCATACCTGTAGATGCCGTGGCAGCAGACGATGATGGATTTCAGCATGGTGATAATCTTAGCTCTGCTGCAGATAGCTGAGGTCCAGACCCAGACCTACTTGGAATGGAAAGAAGTGCATCCACCACAACTGCCTAAGGACGCTGTTCCTGTCTTTGACAAGAAATCAAAGCAAACTCTTTATGTGGCTAGATTGGAAGACTGTACACCTTGCTTCTATGACAGCGCTAAAAAATCGTGTTCGGTTTCAACATTTCATGGAGAATTCAATTTAGGACACACTGTCCAGAATAGAAAAATTTCATTTTTATTGAATAAGGATAACTTCGAAATTTTTGAGTGGAAGAAATCGTCATTTGGAGAGGTTCCACCTTTACCAGTGGAGACTTGTAATGGTTATTTTATTGCTAGAAATGACTTTGGGTTAGGCTATATTACCGATAACAGTTTAATAACGATTGGTGCTAAAAAACAAGACACCACCGAAAATGAGGTTCTCACCCTAAACCATGACATTAAAGGGCAGCATTTAACCATTACTGAGTATCAAATTGGAAGTGCCAAGGCATCAGAAAACATAGCAGAACTGAAACATTTCACGGCCTCCAACAAGAACTGTGAAGCAGCCAAACAACAGGTGAAGTTGGACCAAGGCATCGATAAAACAGTTTCGTTCCTAAAGACCCGTACGCATACATTTGGAGGGACAGGAGAGACATCCGTCAGCGGTAAGGTTCCACTTATAATAAGTATAGGAGGAAAGCTTGGCTTGAAATACGACTATAGCCGCCTCAATTCTAAGACGACATCCACAGTTGAGAAAAGCTTGCACTCAGTGAGTATGGAGGTGCAGGTTCCCGCCAACCACGCTTGCAGCATTGTTATTAATAGCAACACCTTTACAGCTGATGTCCCGTTTACTGGCCAGCTCACTAGAGTATACAACAACGGTGAAGCACGCAGAACCTTGACTGATGGCATCTACAGTCATCAGGAAGTGGCAGAAATACAAGCACTTGTGAATCCCTGTACTCCACTTGTAGATAAAAAGAGATGTTAGTCAGTGTCTGTAATAGAAAATGAATGATGTGTTGACAAGTATATGTTCAACAGAATGTCATGGCATGCTTCACAAGTAACACCATTAAATTGACTTTAAACTGGCTACCAGTTTTTTCCTTTGCCTGTTTTATTAATTCAGTCATTTATTTATGATCATTTTTAATAGACCTTCCCATCGCTGTTCTTCATGCTGGAATTTTTTGACATTACTGTCAGTGACATTAACTGTCCTTTGTCTTCTGAACCCTGGTGCTGTTGCTACTGCTTCTATGAGAGGTAAACAGTAAGAAAGTCATTAAGCATACATGAGTCTTAGCGAAATCAGGGAAACTTGGTAAAAACATTGACCTTCCAGTAGTTATTTCAAAAGTACCTAAAGTCCCCATATTATGCTATTTTTAGATATTACAATTCATGCTGTGTTCATGCTTTTGGTGAATGTAAAAGGTTGCAAAGTTTCAAAGATCAAAAATTGCACGAACCTAGGTTTGGAACTAATTTGCATAATGCCCACATAACAACTTCATTGGTTGCCCTTGAACAGCATCTACTTTTGCCCCGCTCTCAAACACTGTAGTTGTAGTTCAGACTGGTAGAGTTGGTTCGTGTTGTCGACATGTCAAGAAGATGCTGTTTTCTGCACTGCGAATTCACTTTGGCATGCACTTTCAAAGAAAGAGCACTAGCGCTGGAATCGAGACCCGTCACCTTCAGCTAATGTTGCTGCATCTGTCAAGTTTTCGGTACCAGCCATGGCGCTCTCACACCTCATAATGAGATTTTAATCATGCTTATTGATCATTAAATAGTAGCCTACCTTAATTTTATATGTATCCTAATACAGAATAGGCCTACATATTTATCAGTTGCCAGACATGACTCTGTATTGTTGTTAAAATGAGAAGACAATTAAAATTGGAAATTCTTTTCCCTCTTATTTATTATAAAATATAGCATGCCATTTCTTTAAAGGTGCAATGTGTGACATTTTTGAGAATCTGTTTATAGAAATGCAATGTAACATACAAAACTATGTTTTCAGTGGTGTATAAATGCCTTACAAAATTTACCCTTATGTTTTAATTACCTTAGAATATGCTATTTCTATCTACATACACCGCGGGTCCCCCTCCATGGTTAAGTCGCCATTTTGCGCTGCCATATTTCTACAGTAGCTCTTAACGGACAAACTACTCTACATCACTGTTGTTCTTCTTCATTTCTTACTCGTGTTCCTCGTGTTTTTAGAGGCAGCTTGCATCGTCACTACGTTGCATCCGCTAGAAGAAGTAGTAGTAGTCGTTGTGTGCTTTATTAGAAGCAGAGGTCTTTCATAGAAGTAAGAAGAGTAAGGAACGCTTGACTGACTACTCTCTGCTGTCTCAGATCACGACATCTTTGTCCTGTGTCCTGTGTCGACAACCGTAGCTTCTCAAGGAGAGGGGTGGGGGGAGGGGCTAATCAGTTTATTGCAATTCGCAACATCATTGCTAGATGCTGCTAAAATCTACACACTGCACCTTTAAAGATGCACTTAAAACACATTATGTTTGAAAAGATACATAACACTTTGCATTTTACCTATATTGCAACTGTCTGTTGCATAATGTAGAGGGAATTTATAGCAGAATATAATTTTGTGTGCGTGTTTGTTTTTTATAATAGATCTACGCATATGAGTTTATTAAGATTTGTAGCAGGTGCTAACAGTGATTAACACACAAAAGTCACATACCTGCACCTGTACTCAGAGTTTGAGAAAAAAAAATCTAAATTTATCAAATGGTGTCACAAATATTTAGAATACTCCGATAAGATGCTTGTCAGTGTGACGTCCCAGAGCCGATATATACAGAGCATCATGATCCTAACCCTAACCCTAATGCAATTCGCAGTGCTGGTTAAATGAGTCCTTGGATTCATGTGCACACCCTGTGGTTTTGGGGGCACTGAACACTTAACTTTAGATTATATTTGAGAGGGTTTAGCTATAGGCAGCAGTCACAATAGCACTGTATAACTGATATTGGCTTGTTTTAAAGTTTATTATTTTATGTGGCCCAGGTCTGTCCCAGACACTCAGCCAGGTCTGGCTGAGACTCGGTTTGTTCCCCGGGCCAAAAATATTTTTCCTGTCGTGGCCTAATGGTTAGAGAGTCGGACTCATAACCCAAAGGTTGTGGGTTCGAGTCTCGTACCGGCAGGGATTGTAGGTGGGGGGAGTGAATGTACAGCGCTCTCTCCCACCTTCAAGGTGCCCTTGCACTGCAAGGTGCACTGAACCCCCAACTGCACCATCTCACCGCAGCATAAATGGCTGCCCACTGCTCCGGGTTTGTGTTCACTGCGGTGTGTGTGCACTTTGGCTGGGTTAAATGCAGAGCACTAATTCCGAGTATGGGTCACCATACTATGTCACGTCACTCACTCATCTACATTTTGATGTGTGGCCTGATGGCAAGTAAACTTTTAACAAAATTTCATTTGAGTTAACTATTCCTTTTCAATCCAGAAGACTTAGCATTAAGAGAACTGACAGAGTTTAAACATCTTAATTTTACCTTAAAGCAGCTGTATGTAGTTTTGTGTATTTTACCGACTTTGAAGCGACCCCTACAGTTAAGTGAGTGGAATTCACGGCCATAATTACAGTGGCCAGCTGTACACCCGTTCACCAAACATACTTACTCCCAGAACAGACATCTGGGGAGGAGTCATTCACCTTATTATATAAGTGTGTACCATCAGAATGATTTTGAAACTGGTATTTCAAGGCAAAAAAAACTTGACTATGCACAGTACTGTCTCAAATCACTAATGCCTATTGATTATTAGACACCTAAATGGATAAGTATTTAATCATAAACATTATCAATCTCTAATCAACCAAAAGTTTAAACTTGTGTGCATTAATAAATAAATAACTATCTGAAGCAGTGTATTTCTGAGAGGCTTTATTGTGCATTTTGGAAATCCAGTGACACTGACACAGTACAGAATCCTACACCCTATTCTCCCCCATTTCTCCTGACAGTAAGTCTATAAAGGAAGAAGTACCTTAATCCTGTTTGCAATCTTAATTTAAACAGAGAGATCAAGAGAAAAACAGAAAGAGAACCAATTGGCTGCGTTTTCCACAAACAACATGCATTCTGGGTTCTTGGGGGGGGGGGAGAAGGGGTGACGTTCACACGGCTAAAAACAATAAGAGGACATTGAAACATGATCCGCTCTTATTGGTCCACTGTGAGTCAGTCTGTCAGATTTCTGTCCATCTTATGTCATGTCTTTGAGAAAAATCATAAAAACAAATATGGAAAGAAACATATGCTCAATACTTCCAACTGTCTTGCTATACATAAATGGAGATCGTCTGCTTAAATAAGCAAATGGAAGGGTTTTCTTCTGCATTTTACAGTGTAATTTTTCTCATTTAATCGTTTTCGTATACATGTCCTCTCTCTAAAAAATGTGCTGTTCTAGGCCCCTCAGGAGTGGCCGTTTGACAGATCTCATGTAAAATGACATATCTGCAGCAGAAGTGAACTAGAGTTGTGATTGGTCCTGAAGAAGGTTTAATCTTCCTCGCTGCCACTAGGAGAATGCTCCTATACAAAAACATTAGAAAAATAATTAGCACAAGTGAGCAACAACATGAGGGTGAATGAAATGAAACACCATCCATGCGATGGATTTTTAAATATATATATTTTTGAACGCATCAAAATTATGAAACATTAGGCATTTTTTGCAAATTAGCACAATTTTGTTCAAGATGCAGGGCTGTGTAATTTACCATTTTCTTTCTTTTTTTAAATGTACTTTTCCTTCAAGTACCACATTAATTATTCATGAGTACCTCTTCCTGGTCCTCCTCACTTTCGTCGTCACTAACAACAGGTTTAGGGCGCCAACTGCGTCCGGTTCGGCGTCTTCCCTTTCCTCTCTCCACCTTTTCCTTTCGATTCAGCTTTATCTTCACCTTCACTGAACGAGCTAAAACACAGACACACATGCATGCATATGTATACATGTTGGACTCAATTTAAATTGGAGTTGCACATGCCAGATACTCTGCTCAGATAATAGCTGCATTTTACAAAATATTGTCATTACAGTGTCAGAATCACCATCAGTACTCACATTCAGACTCTGATCCTTCATCTGCCTCTTCCTCTTCCTCCTCACTGTCTTCTCCCTCGCTCTCTTCCTCTTTCTCGATCTTCTGCCTCACACTGGTGAACACAGACTGCAGCACGATAGAGTCCTCATAGATCTGAAATATAAGATTGTGATCTTATCTAATTCAGCCAAATGAAGTATGACCCCAACAACCTACCAGTGTTGTTGTTAACTAAAACAAACTATTCAAATGCATTTTGTTACTTCAAACAAAAAAATTAACTGAATACCTTAAATGCATTTTATTTCAGTTAGTTGTCAAGGAAACATTTTCATTCATTTAGTTTAAGTGGAAGTACTAAAATAACTAAAGCTGAAATAAAAACAATATAGACATTTAAAAAACACACACACACAAAAACAATGACTAAAACTGAAAATATAAAAATTTATACTAATTAACAAATTAATAAAATATAAATAAAACTAATATTACCAGTGATCCCTCCAGGTTGAAGGTCTGAGCGTTCTGACAGAGAAGCATGACATCTTTCTCCAGGTCGTTCAGAGTGCGGTACTTATGACTTCTAATGCGCTCCTGTACATAACAGAGAACATGATTAATATTATTAGATTGATAATAGCCCCAATTTACTTAAAATATAATAATAATAATAACAACAAACACAAAAACAGCTCAGAGTTACACCTTAATTATTATTAGTGTGCAGATTATTAGTGTGTATTTCAATGGGTGTTTGTGCACCAGCCAAAGCATTCATGGGGGGGTGGGAGAGTAAAAAAAAAAAAGAACAATTAATTAAAAGAAAAATGTATGTTTGCCAAACCTTGATCTTCCTGAAGTCCACAGGTTTGCGAATGAGTTCGTAATATTCTGGTAGCTCTTTACGAGACGGCAACTGAATAAACACCTCACTCAGTTGTCTTCCGTTGCTGTTATGAAATACAGTTGACAAAAAGAAAAGAGATTAGTAAAAACATACAACTCCCAAATGTTAATCTAATCTACATTAATTACAGCATAAAATCTCACTATAAGCAATTTTTATTTGTGCATATATTCCACAAAACATCAGGAAAAATTGTTCATGTTCCTAAATGAGAAATATTTCCTAAATGTCTCGAAAAAAAAAAACATTGCTGTGGATCAAATTGACCTGCAACGTAAGAGCTACAGAGAACATGAAGCGACTAACCCATCCTTGTATTTAATTACTGCATCCACAATCTTCTTCATTTTCTTGGTGAGCGTGGGAGGGTTAGGCGAGAGTTTTTCAGCAGGAGGACGACCTCGTTTCTTTTGCTTCTTACTGTCGTCATCTTTATCTCTGCTTCGCCCACTGGAGCTAGGCGTGACCGGGCCTGGAAGGTCGAGGTCACGGTCACGGTCCCGGTCCCGCTTCCTTTTCCGAGTCGTTTTCTTGTAGCGCACCTCTTCTTCAATCTCATCAAGGGTGCCTTCCTCAATGGCCTGAGAACCAGTAAAATACATCAATATGCCTTCCTTTTTATAACCAAAGGTTCAATATAATGCAGTCGTGATTTCACATTCACCTTCAGCCACTGTTTCTCCGTGAGGGAGTCACTGTAGTCCACTTCTTTTCTTTGACGGGAGCCACGGCCAAACATCTTCTCATCTTCTTCTTCGCAGGTGAGCCTTTCCACCTCTGCGTCGTCCTTCATGATCCAGGTGGGCAGCTCATCCTCCTCCATCAGCCGGGGTTTGCGTTTCGGGTTACGTGCCTCTTCACGGCGGCGGTCAAGATCCATGCGCTGGATGAAAGGAAAACAACAATTAGGAACTCATTAAGAAAAAATCAGGAATCAAACAAAACAAAACGTGTCAATTTAACGGAAGTTAACAAGTAGTGCTACTAACCATGAAGTGATCGAACTCTTCCTCGCTTCTAGCGATCATCTGATTAACGGTCTCGTCATCTGGCACTTCATCTTCCTCCTGAGATGAGAGAGAAAACCAAAGAGAGAGCGAATGTTAACTATAGAAAACGGAGACTGTTGAGAGGGCACTGAAATTGTCGATCATAAACGGGTGTCCGCACCTCATCCTGCTCTTCGTGCTCCAGGATGGCCTGCAGGAAAGCTTTGCGCTCGTGGCCGGACGACTTCTGGTCGAACATACCGTCATCTGGCACTTCATCTTCCTCCTGAGATGAGAGAGAAAACCAAAGAGAGAGCGAATGTTAACTATAGAAAACGGAGGCTGTCGAGAGGGCACTGAAATTGTCGATCATAAACGGGTGTCCGCACCTCATCCTGCTCTTCGTGCTCCAGGATGGCCTGCAGGAAAGCTTTGCGCTCGTGGCCGGACGACTTCTGGTCGAACATACCGGCCTGGATGACCTTCTGGTCCACGTTCAGCTTGTATTTGGCAGCGGACAGGATCTTCTCCTCCACGCTGTTCACGGTGCACAGACGCAGCACACGCACCTCATTCTGCTGCCCGATACGATGGGCGCGATCCTGGGCCTGCAGATCCTACGAGAGACGAGAAAGAAGTGATCAGTGACAAAATATTGTGAGAACATGGATAAAACTAATGAGATATTATACCAAACCAATTAGAATCATGACAATCACGGAGAGGAAACCCGCTGTTTAATATAACTGAAATTGCTGCTATTCTACTTAGAAGAATTATAATGCATACTGTTCATAAGTGTACTATTAAGTGTACTTGAAAGTGTGCATATCATGTATACATGTTAATGCATAGGATGTCAAATTTTTGCTTATAATTCGGTATTTTATTCTGTTTTTTTTTTAAAGGTTATCAACCTAATCTGAATCTATTTTGAACTTAAGCTGAACTTTTGCTATTGAAATGGCAAACTACTGTTTCAAGTTCGCCATCTAACTTCAATCAAACAATCATTATGTTGGAAAACTGCTTTAATCAGTTATGAAATTGAGTGGAAATCAACACACTGCAAACCAACCATGACTGTAGAAAGTTATTGAAGATGCAAAGTAAAAGCCATTTTTGAGTTGATCCTTGTGTCCGTGGTTCGAGTTAGAGACAGTACTGATGTGTGGACCACCAAATAACTCAACAGTACTAAAGCTTACATGTTAACACTTTACAATAAGGTTCAATTTGTAAAAACTAGCAATGAAAAATATTATAATTTAGGATCATGTTAATTCTACATATACTAATCCAGTTTAAACATTTAAAGTTGGAAAATGAGCATTAATGTATGACAAATAAACATCAATTAACAATGTTTATAAAACATTCAATTATATATTTTATTCTACAGTGATTCAAAGATTCTATTGTACAACGATTCTATACTAAAGATTCAATTCTGCAATTAATGTATTATAAAAATGGCTTATAAATCAACATTCAATTATACATTCTATTCTCAAATGTTCCTAAAAATTCTATTGTACGATTCCATTTAAAATAATTCTAAAGATTCTATTGTACAGTGATACTATTCAAATGATTCTAAATATTCTATTCCACGATGATTCTATACTAAAGACGCAATTCTGCAATGAATCATTCTAAAAATTACTTTTAAATTAACATTCAATTATACAATGATTCTGTACTAAAGCTTCTATTCGACAACGAATCTATTCAAAAGATTCTTTACTAATGATGCAATTATACACTTAATATAAGCTATTATAAAAACTATTCTGTCTACAACATTAAGCTACTATAACTTTTGTCACATCAAAAGTTTCCCCTTTTGTTAAATTCCGCTATATTTAAAGGCACAGTATTGTACCTGGTGAGGGTTCCAGTCGCTGTCAAAGATGATAACAGTGTCGGCAGTCTGCAGGTTCAGCCCCAGACCTCCTGCTCTGGTACTCAGCAAGAAGATAAAGTACTGAAAGGACGGATCATTAAAGTTCTTCAGCAACATGCCACGATCCTCAGCCTTAGTGCTTCCTACAAAGACAGACAAAAAAAAGGTTTTAGCATGATTAAACCTTCTGTGATTCATAGATTTGAATGAACTATTTATCCGAGAACTTTCAAATAAAAACAAACAGCAGAGAAAGTCATAAGATTGCCAGCATATGCAAAAACTCTTCATTCTGTGTGAATCTGGTTCAAGTGACTCACCGTCCAAGCGCAGGTATTTGAAGTTGCGGTAGGCAAAGTAGTCTTCCATGATGGTCATGAGCGAGGTCATCTGACAGAAGAGCAGCACTTTGTGGTTGGTGGCGCAGAGCTTCGGTAGGATACGGTCCAGCAGCTCAAACTTACCAGAGGCACGGTACAAATCAAGTCTAAGAGTGATACAGTGTACGTTAAGTCACAGACAAAACCAATGAAAATACAAAGTTTACATATTTTCCATTACCAGGAAGTGTTCTACGTACCCCTGAACAATGCCTCCAGTGAAGCCCAAGTGCTCAGAGAAAGATTCCTGCAAACGGAGCGCAAAAATACATCAAACAAGGTGCCATAAACCTAGCAGATAAATGCAAAGATATAAATGACCTTGTTGTATGAGGAATATGTAAACCAAATGATCACCAAACATACAAAACAATGGTTATATGTTCTGTATTATTAATTAAAAAAAAGAAAGAAATATATGCCTTGAATATTGCAGATTTTAATTTTATTTCTTGCACTTTTAATACTAATTTGATACTTACATTGATTGAAGAGAGAGGAAAAGTAAAATAATTTTAAATTCATAATTCATTCATTTCATTTCACCCTTTAAGCTGTGTCAGAACAAACACAAACTCAAATACAGATAAATTATTGACATAAAACAAACCTTCTCTGGCAGTTGGGCCTCCACTTCCTTCTTGAGTCTCCTGAGCAGGAAGGGGCGGAGCACTTTGTGCAGACGACGGATGATCAGAATGGTCTCCTCTTCGTTCAGGTCCACCTTTAGAACACGACAGGAAGTTTATGGAGCCAGATTACACAAAAACAGAATTTCAATTTATTGTATCCTGTCTAAATGTACTAGTACACCTACTAAAAGTTTTTATACCTTCTCTCCGGTCATGGCGAATGGAGCGTTGAACCACTGCTCAAAGGTGCTGCAGCTCTTGAAGATGGTGGGCAGCAGGAAGTTGAGCAGCGCCCACAGTTCAGGCAGCTTGTTCTGCAGTGGCGTGCCGGTGAGCAACACACGACGAGGTGCCAGGTAGTGTGTGTTCAACACCTGAGTCAGTTTACAGTGGTGATTTTTCATACGGTGACCTTCATCCACTATCATGTACTTCCAACGGAGCTGAAAGAGAGAGAAGCATCAGAAACTGAACGAGAAGTTCGTAGTCAAAAAGCTTATTAAAAAAAATTAACATGTATGATAATGATTGTAACAGAACTTCGTGAGATCACAAGGAACTAAGAGTGACAGCTTTTTAGTGACTTTTTTCCAGGGGACCCCTATTGTAACTAGGGATGGACGATATCTTATCATTTGCGATATACCGGTAAAAATTCTCCCCACGATAAGAATTAGTCTTACCGCAATAATAACGATAAAGTCTAGTTGTTGACATATTTCTGTGTGAGACCGTGTGGAGTGACGTGAAAAAAGGCGGACGTGAAATTGAGCAGCTCCTTCTACAATCTGGAACAGGTTTGGATAGGGCTGTACAGTGCGACAAAAATCAGTCTGAGCCTTGAATAAATATACTACAGTAGCACGTGTGCGATACAGTTTTACCGGTGTATGAGCCCGTTTATAAAGCTGTTGTCCAACAAAGATATTATTTATTGACGTGCTTTTTCTCCATATTAACTTCATAACATAGTCGGGGTGTTTGAAATGACTTATTTTTGTGACCCGACGTGGTTTCGTATCACAGAATAAGGCAGAAATCATACTATTTTATAGCATTATATACAGCGATGAAGGCTATGTCGATTAGCATTGCATTATATATATATATACACTTTATCTTTATAAAAATGCCCAAGATTGCTTCAGGTTTCCTCAATTAAAATTTCTCTATCTGCGTTTTATTCAGCTACAGCGATCACTGGATACCTCTGTTCATATTAGGGATTTCCTGGAGCGTTACTTCTACTATGCATATGTGGAGTTTCTGCACAAGGGAGCCCTCCGGCTTCCAGTATGACTTAAACAGTCATTACATTATGTGTGTACTGCTCACAACACCCTATTTTGGGAAAAAAAAAAAGAGAAAGATAATACTTTTCTCTAAAGAAACAGGATTCCCTAAATGATCGTCATTGATATCGTTATCTCAATAAATATCAGAAATTATCGTGATAAATGTTTAAGCCCATATCGCCCATCCCTAATTTTAACATTCAAAATTTTTATCGACACCCATTAAAAAAATAAATAAACAAGCAAACAGTTACGTTTTTAATAAATGCAACAACAGCGGAAACATTCAAATAATGACATTAGCAATAATGGCCGGATTAAAAAAAAAAAAAAAAGGTTGGGTGACTACAACATAACATGCTATCTAATAACATGTTAAAATAAAGTTTTGACAAAAAGAAAAATTTTTTTATAAAATAATAAATCTTACATTTCAGGCTTTGATCCATTTTTAAGAAAAGGGTTCCAAGTCAAAATGATGAATGATAGGTATTTTATCTGCTCTGTTAATAATTCTAGACACTTCCAAATTGTTTAGATTTTTTGAAAGCACATTAGCTTATTTTCCATCAACCAGTAAAATGTTTGCATTGGTTTGAACAAAAACGGAATGAAAATGTAAATCCATTTTCTGACAGCAGGTGGCGCTTATGGAACAGCAGAAATAGAGTAACTGCTGTACACACAGCAGCACTGCCCTTATAAACACTGCTATATTAGGCATTACACGGAGGGAAAGATGAAAAGGAAATGCCATCGAAACTTTTGTGAAGACAGTCAGTTCTCTTCAGAGATGCATTAAATTAATTAATTCACACTTTAATCCATATAATTTCCCTTAGTAAAACCTTTCACTGCCTTCCTTGGTATTTTCACACAAAACAAAACCTCCGCTGCATGCTGCGCCTGCGTGAGTGTAAAGTTTAGGTTTTCGAATAGTGCTTTTAATGATAATTAAAATATTAAATGGTAACACTAACTGTCAGGAATTTTTCATCAAACTGTAACCGTTTCAACCCTACTTGTAACCCTCAATCTAGAGTCAGCTTGGTGACCCCTTGTAAATCTTAAGCGACCAGGTTGGGATCCACTAGGCTAGACAACCCTCAGTAAATTAATTTAGCAACCGGGCCTGAGCAGGTTTGTACCTTGGCCAGCACTTGCTTGTCTTTGATGACGTACTCGTAAGTGGTGATCAGCACGTTGAACTTGCCGCTGCGCAAAATGGGAAGAAATGCGCGGCGAGCAGCAGGAGAGCCCTGAGATGAAAACAAGCAAAGAAAATGAGTTATTAATCCTGTAATATCCTTCAGTTACTTGCATCAATGACAGTTTTATTTTGTATTATTTAGCATTAGTTTATGGAAAACCTGTTGAATTTGCCAAACCTGTTTCATGACATCATTTCATTACTTTGTTTACTACATAAATGAATCAGATAATCACCTTATAAGAAACTTTCACCACAGATGGAGCCCACTTATCAAACTCGTACACCCAGTTCGACAGAGTCCTGTTAGAAAAACAAATGATTAAAAGCACATATCACTGTAATTATTTGTGTTGAAATATTTGTGTCTTAGTAGAGTAAGGCTGCATGATATATCCAATTAAAACCGATCACAATCGCAATATGGTTTAGAGAGGGTATCAAATCACGAAGACTGCAACTGAAATAAACATTGTGTGTTTCAGACTGAAGTATGGCATAGTGTTCATCTGCATGCTTGAAGCTCATGATACAGTGTTTCTGTGTCTCGGTTGACAGTAAAGAAATTAAGACATTCTGAAATACCGTACCATGAGCTGCATGTGTAATTGAATACACAACAGGGTTCCCATTCTTTCATGAACACCAGATTCAAGGACTTTCAATTACTTTTTAAAGCACCATTTATTTTATATCAAGCACCTATCCAATTCACACCCCAGCATATGTAGTGGCATGAAACATTACTTAACACTTCACTTACACTTAACATAAAAAATTTCAGAGTAACAATGTTTTGAATGTGTAGGTTTCATACATTTAGACCGTTTTGAGCAGTTGTGTTCTAAGGAATTTAATGAAATCCATTGAAGTCAGTACTGGTGATATTCAAATACAATTTCTAAAATATTGATAAAATGCACATCAAACTGGTTTTTGCTGTAGTTCTTGTACAAGATTTAAATTGGAAAGAATTTCTCCATTTTTAAATTAATAAAAAGTGGTTAAATGTTGTAATAACATGGTAAAACCTGTTAACATTAAAAATTTGCACATTCACTCAAAAGAGACGTTACTCATTAATAAACTCAAGTCAAAATAATTTTGTAAATTACATTTTTTTTATCTTTGACCTAGAGCAGTGGTTCTCAAACTTTTTGCAGCGTGCACCCCTTTCTAGTGTTTGACACATGTCAAGCACCCCCACCACCGTACTCCGGTTAAACACCACATTTTTTTTACTGCAATACAAGTATTCACGTTATACAGGGCTTGACATTAACTCTTTTGCTCACCAGCCACTGTGGCTAGTGGTTTTCCAAAATTACTAGCCACTCAGCATTTTCACTGGCCACAATTTTGTTGCTGGAAAATTACATTTTATATGACTAAAGTTACTGCATATTAAAATTAATTTGAATTGATTTCCAGATCTTTTTTTTTTGCCTATAAAAAGGGCATTTCCCCCTAACCTTATTAAATGCATGTCATCTTTCATATCAAATTCTTACATTGTATTAATAAATTACCCTTAATATAATAAGACTCTATAGGGCTGCTACCAATCAAATGAAATCAGTATTAACAAAACCAATGTTTCCACTGCTGGAGAAACAGAAGCAGCTGAAGTGGCATTTAGATGCATTTACACAGACAATTTAATGAAGCTGAAATGTAGCATGAATGCATTAACACTGCAAAATTACAACAGCATAAATAATGCTGTGAGCTTGGTGTTTTACATCAGGTTTTTTTATTTACAAATAT